GATGGAGTTTAACACTGAAGAAGAAGAGAACAAAAGAAAGGGGAGCAATGAGTCAGTGACCATAAATCAATGACCATAATGTAATACTTTTTTATGATCATCAACAAAGAAGTAACATTTCGGATTGTCAATTGAAAATACTATAAAGAATATAATATGTTCAATTGCGCCCGTTCGTCGTCTCTTAGACTTTCTCACAAGGCATACATATTCATTAAATTTTTAGATATGATAATATTTATTTTCTATTGAAATTAGCCAATAGTCATCATTTTAACGTCCAATTTAAGCAACCGTCATTTTTTTCATGAAAAATGATGAGTTTGGAACATAATGAATAATCGGGTGACTATTATATAACTCTTAATAGTTGAGGGACTTAACAAAGCAACATTCTACCGTCAGAAGATCATTTTGAGACCATTTGTATACTTTATCATTTTTTTATTAATGTAAAGTTATTACAAATGATAATATATATTATAAATACTCTCAATCATTTAATAATAAACGTCGAATACCGTGCAATCAGTAATGCTCGAATTCGGTTAATTAATTTAACTTGGTTGTTGAGATGGCTATCTTTTAGTAATGTATAATAATATAGACAACCAAATTAATTCTAATATTTTAGTTTTTTTTATTATACATTATTAAGAAAAAGTCGTCTCAACCATAATTTTTTTTTGACTGAGATAACATTTGGAATATTTGAATGTGTGTAATTATAAAATCCGATTAATAGGTTAATTAAAATATTAAATTAGCATTAATTTTTCGTTTGGCTTTTATATGAAATGGTCAATATTGGACTGACATTAGGTTGTGTAATGATTCTGTACTCATTAAACCACCTAGTAAAAGGGAGTGTTGTTTTTTCGAGAAATTCAGAGTTCGAACAATTACGTTTACAGATTACTAAAATGATGAGAATCGATCGTAACATAGAATGCAAATAGAAGCATGGTGTAACTAATGTAATACAAATACAAAACATTATCAAACCTACTTAATAAGCTAAGTAGTAATACATAAGGAATGATTATGCCTCGAGTCGAATTTGAGTTTAATCGATGAGAAATCGGTATATAGGTCTCTTGGCTCGAATTTGAGTTTCTTCTGGGACTTTTCGGTCCTAATTATTACCAGGGGGAGTTCAATAGTATGCAGGCACAGTTAGTGGGAGGAACGTTTGTCTCACTCCTTCAGACCATATGAAGGGCATAAGAGCACATGATGCAACCTGGAAACAACACATGAAGAACAGTTAGCACATTAGTATTGGTAGATGAAATAGTCGACATGACGATTCGTATGTTCGTATCACGTTCGTGTTATATAAGAACTGTAGCGGAGATACCGACCCAAAGGAATTTAGCTGCATTCCACAAGCGTTTCGGAGTCGGAAACGGAAGTAACAACCGGCCGACGCCGTATATTGCCAGGGAAATGAAATGAAATGCCAAGCTTAATGGATGAGGGCATAAACCAGATAGCATTGCTGATAGTCCATGCGCAAACACACCTCCAAGTCTCAAGTACCCGAAACATGTCTGTTGCATAGCCTTCATTGCGGGATCGGACGGCCCCCTGAACACCTTCTGTAGGACATTAGCCAGTATGTTGATCGTGGACGACATTGGCTGCAAACAAATTAGATCGTTTTCATTCAGTGTCGTTCGCTTCCGAAACGTAAACGAACAACGAAGTCTAGTTTACCTTCCTCAGTGTATAAAAGGACTCGAGATATTCGCAGACGGCGGATGCATCAGATAGATCATGCAAGGGTCTCAGAAGATCCCTCAGCAAGACGACATCAGATAGCGCAACCGTCATTCCTCCTGCGGTTATAGCGTGTCGCATATTGAATGCGTCGCCTATCATAAACGCACCGGGAGTCGGGCGCGGAGCAGCGGCCATAATTCTAATCGGCGCCGTTCTTATGTTGCCCTTCTTCTCTGTTGCAGCAATGAAGGCAGTGTACAGTTCAGGAGGTACCTTGGGAGCCACTTGAGTCCTCAAGTAATGGGCCATTTCACCATTGGAAACAGAAGGTACATTTTGACTCGGAACGTCCACCAAACATCGGATTTCGGTGCTGCTAATGCGGTAAAAAAGGATCGGTCCAGGCTCTTCTAATATGAAAGTTGGGTAATTTTCATTCGGAAGCCTACAGTTGGTCAGGACTAAACCAACATAATAAGAAGGGATATCAACCTGCAGACATAATCAAGACCTTTACATATATATATATATATATATATTCTCAAAGCATAGAATTCAACAAGACTTGCTAAGAGTTTTTCACCTTGGGGTAGCAGAGGGATCGCCTCAGATTCGAGAAGCTACCGTCGCAGACAACGGTGAGCGGAGCATAAGCCGACAGCAGTCGACCACTCTTGTCCTTGTAGTGCACTCCTTTGACAGTCCCGTTTTCTTCAATCAGAGATGTCACAGTCCCTTGTTCTAGACTCACACTACATCATCATCATACACATGAATTTTTGTGACATCAAATGTCGAAATCGAACAAAAATCGAGACGAAGAGGATGAAATACTTGTGAAGCGATGCAGCTTTGTTCCTAAATTTTTGTACGAAAAAACCATTACGAAAGGTTCTTCCGGCCACATGGGACTCAAACTTTTGCAGGGGAAAAATTATGGGGGCCTCCTTTCCATCCTTTTGTAGAACAAAACCCAGCATGCGTTCAGCTTCGATCTCATCAACACAATCTGCAGTGCCAACATTCAATGTAATAACACGATAAAATGGTCCTTAAGCTATTGAAATGTAGGATTTTTTTATTGTTTAATTACCCTCGAGGCCTAACTCGATTAACTTGAGGTATCCCCCTGGCATCAGACCTTCTCCGGCCATTCTCTCCGGCGCATTTAAGTCCCTCTCGATCACTCGCACTCGACGTTCATCCTGTAACATGCATGCAAATAAGTGTAAATCGTACTACGGACCGGAAATTATATTAGAAATTTAGGGACGTAAATGTATGGACCTTTCCAAGAGAATAAGCAAGAGCAGCTCCAACAACTCCAGCACCGACTATGATAACATCTATTGTCTCACCAGCCTCATAATTTTCAGTTTTGTTTACACATTTTTCCTTCGGAAACTCCATGGAAGCTGGTCTTTGCAGCTTTCTCAGTCCCCTAAATCTTACTAGAGAATTGTAGTACAAGAAAACAAGCCCCGATAGAGAAGCTATAACACCTGCAACTCCAACTATGTAATGGTCACCCATGGAATCAAGAACAAAAGAATTATGGAATTTATAATGGTCGGAAAAAGAGTGAATTTCATTGATAAATTTAATATTAAATTAAATTTATATTCCTTTTGACTATTACAAATTAAAAGATATTTTTAATTTGAATATTAGCAAGTTAATTAATCTTTGAATATGTCAAATTAAAAGGTATTTATTATCTATTTAATATTGAATATTAAAGATAATTGTATATTTTTGAATATTTCAAATTAAATTAATATTAAATTAAATTTATATTCCTTTTGACTATTACAAATTAAAAAATATTTTAATTTGAATATTAGTAAGTTAATTACTCTTTGAATATGTCAAATTAAAATGTATTAATTATCTATTTAACTTTGAATATTAAAGATAATTGTATATTTTTGAATATTTCAAATTAAATAATATTAAATTAAATTTATATTATTTTTGACTATTACAAATTAAAAGATATTTTTAATTTGAATATTAGTAACTTAATTAATCTTTGAATATGTCAAATTAAAATGTATTTATTATCTATTTAACTTTGAATATTAAAGATAATTGTATATTTTTTAATATTTTAAATTAAAATAATATATTTTTAAGTTTGAATAGTAAAAAGTATTTTGAATATTTCAAATTAAAAGATATTATTATATTTGAATATTAAAAGATATATTATTAGAGTAATTCTGATTCCGTTTCTTTTATAGAAAATGGAGACAGTAGACTCTTCCGATTTACCCAATTTGCATACTAAAATGATATTCCGGTTCGAAATTCAAATTTGAATACAAGTCAACCAACATTGTTAGCTAACCACAACGGGAAGTCGGCGAAATTTTGTGGAGAGAATTTCAAGATGTAAAAACATAAGATGTTTTCTATCTTTAAAGAGGGAGAAGTAGATGGGGTTGACAATATTACCGCTTATAATATTGTTGATGCTTGGAATCAAATTGTTTTGAGAAGTTTGTTTTAACTTATTAGAGAGATTCTTTTGACAATTTTAAATTGAAAGTGTACTTCAACAGTGAAACCTAAAAAATGATTATTCATTTAAAATTTGGGAACGAAAGAAAAAGAAATGTTCGGTTATTTAAATTTTTCAAAAAATATCGTTAGAACTTATTTAAGGTATGATCTCGATGTTTTTAAATAATCGAATATTCTTCTTCTTTCTAAAAAGGCTTGGTAATTTTAATTTAATTTTTTTTGGGTGCATTTGTAATGGAATTATAATATTTATTTATTTTGATTGGAGTAAGAATTGATTGTCTCAATTTATGAGAGGTTTGTTTCTTCTCGATAGTAAATAATTAAATATTATTAGATTTAATTTTAAAATTCATATTTGTTGTGGGATCAAAAATCAAATTAAATTTGAACTTGTAAGTTTCATTGCAAATACACTAATTAATCGATTAGGTATCGATTTAGGGATGTCGGGTGTTAATCCGTCCCCACGCATAACCGACTCCCAAACTCAATTTTATGGTATGCATATTCTAAATTTGTCGTTTTAATTAAAATTATTTTTTTTTTAAAAATGAAAAAAACGTTTTTGTGTGCCAATCACACCCTAATCAAAGATTGGTGGCGACTCCTCGAACCATACGTTTTTTTAAGGATTCCCAAAATTTTCGAAACGATAGGTTTTTTAGATCACATTATTTTTTAATTAAAAATTAATCAAAAGAAATAAATTAAAAATGGTGTGGTTTTTAAAATCTCACTAAAAAAAATCATTTCAACACAAGCGTTGCAACGATCTTTTCATGCTCGTCCAGCTCTCCCTGTTTCAATATATACTTACCAAACGTGCATACGTACATAAATACACACACATTACGTACGTACATACCTCGATGACGGTAACACCGAGGGATCGGAATTCATCGTGCAAGTCGATCTTGTGTTGAAAGGATCGTGGGGTGATGGGTCGGGCGTACACGAAAGTTCGATGGCCTGACTTGATGCTTGCCTTCACCATGTACGTACCCAAGTAGGCAGTTCCACTTCCACCAAATATGAGGATTTTACTCTTGGTTTCTTCAGCACCACCATAACCATTGGCTTGCTTATCCATGGTTTCTTGTGATCCTCGTCCTCTTGCTGTGGCATATTTGTACCCTTATCCCTAAATTATCTTTTAAGAACGGGAGATGTAATAATTTTGATGTGGCCCCACTAACGTGGGAGGAATCTTTTTAGTGTTGGTTTTTTACCTTGATGATTGTGATTGTGTTCCCTTGTTTGTTTCTCGAGAAAACTGGTGAAAAAAGCATGCCAGGAAAGGAGACTTTTAGCATACTGTTCCCTTGTTTTAGGACCATTCTCTGCGACCCAATGAGATGCCTATGAACAGAATCATAGCTAATCCAATGAGGTCTCTTAAACTTTATGTTCCTTCGTTTTGTTTACGTTCGTTTGTTTGTTTGTTTAGTTGTTCGTATTCGTTCGTTCAACTAAAACTAAACGAACAAACATAAACACACCCTCGCTTGTGTTCGTTTGGTTCATTTACATGTCTAGGCAACACAAAATCAAAAACCTTAAATAAATTAAAGAAGCTTACTTTATCTGGCAAGCAGAATAGACTTATGATAAGCAACGTGACATTAGACTCCGAGGTGATTTGGTTCGTGCAAGTTTAAGATCATTTTAGATGAGAAGCTTGCACGAAATTTGTATATGATGTGATTCGATTCAAGTGTTTTAAGTTATACATATAAATGCTTGTAAAAAAATATTATTTTTCCTAAAAATCTTGAGTCGAAACAATTGCATAAATAATATCGAAGTACGTAAATCAGTCACATAAATCAATAGTTTTCCTAAAATCATTGAAGTACGTAGATTAATCATGTAAGAATAAAAATTAATTATACGGTATTTACTACAGTGTTCAAGAAACTCGTCACTTCTAGGTGATGAGTTATAATAAAAAATATTTTTATTCAAAATCGTCATGTCAAAGTGACGAGTTCCAATAAAATATAATTTTTATTAAATTTTATCACATCGAAGTAAAAAGCTGAAATAAAATATTTTTTTTATTAAAACTCTTCATCTCGACGTGACGAGTTTTAAGTCACTATAGTAAATGTCGTATATCCCTAAATAAACTTCTATATGCATGTTAGGCTAATTTATTAAACGGTTTTCCCTATTAGGCCCAAAAAACCTCATCTAATATGCATGTCAGCCCAATATTCATATAGGGCCAACCTTAACAAATTGGGTTCAAATCAATATTAATCCAACAATTTAATCTTAAATAAAAAATTGGGTCGTTATATACCCCTTTCTTTTTGGGTAAAGTATAAAAATAATCCCCGATTATAGGATATTACTTTGTTAGATCGCTTGACAATTAAAAGTTGTAAAACGATCATCCGACTGTAGAGCGTTCCTTTGTTGAGCCTCTCAACTATTAAAAGTTAAAAAATGGTCATCTGACTATTCATTATGTTCCGACTAGTCCTTTTATATTAAAAATCGACAATATTTTGAGCTGAACGTTAACTTGCTACCTATGATATAATAAAATTTGATCCCAAAATCTCAAACGACTGCTCCCAACCATCATGTTAACGTCCAACTTAGACAACCTTTAATTTTTTACCAGAAGATGAATTTGAAACATAATAAATAGTCGGGTGACTATTTTATAACTTTTAATAGTTGAAGGACTTAACAAAGTAATATTCTATAACCGAATGACAATTTTATAACTTTTAATAATCGAGATGCTTAATAAAGCAGTATCCTACGGTCGAGAACGATTTATGTACTTTGTTTCTTTCTCTTTTGTTATCTTTTCTTTGTTTAACCTGTTTTTTTACATATATTTTATTAATCTATAATTTTTCTTTGTTTTATCATTTTTTATAAAATTAATTATAATTTTATTATCTCATACAAGTTTTATTTATTTCATATATATTTTTATCTTATATATATATATATATTTCTTTTTTCTAATTCAGTTTTATCTTCGTCCATTCAATAGATGTTCATAAAGCGATTCTAACTTTATCTTAGACGAATTACTTTTATTGGAAAGTATCACTCGTTATGCTATTAGTTTTATCATGAATGGTCTTTAAATTACGGAGTATTGTTTTATTGAGTCACTCGACTATTTATTATGTTCTAAACTCATCTTTTTTCGTTAAAAAAATGGATGATATTCCGAGCCGAACATTAACTTGTTGGCTGTTATTTTGTAACTTATAAAGTATAAGTGAGTTAAATCAAAATCTAAAATCCTTAAATTATATAAAATTAAAAAAAATTATACTAAAAAACATAAACAAGATAAGAATAAAGTAAGATTAGTCGAATTTAATTATATATTAATTAATTTTAAGAATCGTAAAAGTACACTCAGTCAAATATTTTATTACAAAGAAATAAACAAATGTCGGCTTTAGAAATTGGAATTATATAAATAAAGAGCAAAAGGGAATCATACACGTAATTTAAGCTGTTATCTGTGCAAAGCAGACAATAACAACCTCCGCCTTTTCCCCCACCTTTATAAATTAGGTCCTTTTATTTTAGTTTTATCAAATTTTGATCCTCATACTTTATGCAATTGAGAAAACTAAGTCCAAGTTTTCAGTGAACGTGTGAATTTAAACAACTTTTTTTCTCTAATTTTGCTAAATTATCAAATTTTCTAGTTCCTTGCGTATAATTAGGCTCATATATCAGATTGGATCCTCTAATTGTATTCAACATTCAAGTGGATTCATGAATTGAATTATGGTTGAAATTGTTCTTTATTTGAAAATTTGCAATTAAATGAATACTTGTTTAAAAATCATGGATCAAATGAGTCCTTGTTTAAAAAAAATGATCAAATGGGCCCTTATTTAAAAATAATAGATCAAATCAACCTTTGTTTAAAAAAGGGTTTAAGGATCACTTTTCCCTGTAGTAGAACCGATTTATTATTTTTGTCCCTATGGTATTTTCACTTCAATTTAACACTTGAAGTTGCTCAATTGCATCAATGTTTAAAATATTTACTATTGTTCTCGGTTTTAAGTTGGAGTTTAGGGTTTAGGGTTTATAGTTTAGGAGTTACGATTGATGTCTAGGGTTTAAGGTTTAGGATTTATAGTTTAGGAGTTAAGATTGATGTCTAGGGTTTAAGGTTTAGGGTTTTAAGTCAGGGTGTATGGTATAGGATGAAGCAATCAAATAACTTTGAAGACTAAATTGATGAGAAAATACTACAAGGGCGAAAATGATAAAAAAGAAATTGCATGTGTATTTTCGACGTTTAAGACAATTTCATAAGTCTATTTGAACCTAATTTTTAAAAAATAACTAATTTGATCCATAATTTAGATTAGGAATTTACTTGATGTTGAATACTACATAATTAGAGGAGCTTATTTGATAGGTAAGCAGGGATGAACATTTAACTCAAATCTGACGGGTTTTCGACCCAATTAGATCCTATAGGTCAAATTATTTTTTGTAAATTTGGTTTCGAATTAAGTCATGTTGGATCGAGTTTGAGTTTAGGGTAGAAAAATCTTTGACCCGGCCCAACCCGATATAATACTATAGTTATCTTTTATATATTTAAGGATAATTGCAATAATATCTCCCTCTTTATATTTCTATTTCAATTAAATCCATATTTTACCTAATACAAATAAATTTTTATATCTATTTGTGTTGGATCGAGTGCAAATTTTTATCTTATAATCAAGTTAAGTTTCGAGATGGACGAAACTTCCCTAAACCCAAGTGAGATCAAATGACGGGTGGAGTGTAATACTCGGGTCATGGTTTGCTAGGAGAAAAAGTCGACCCAACCAATGACCATCCTATATATAATAAGCCTATGAATTATTGAACTACTAAGCTGCGTGCGGTTTTAAGATAATGTTTAACAATGTTCTCCTTTTGGGCTAATTTTCTCAAATTTCTTGAAGTACAAGACTTGAAATTTGATAAGAATAAAATATAAGGAAACATTTCAATTTTTGTAAACTAAAGGGACATAAATTGAAATTATCCCTTTAATAAGTTTTATACCTTTCGTGAATCGTGGCTGTCCAAAAAGATCATCTACAACTCAGGTAAAACCGGGGTTCACTTCCTTCGCCAATAGGTAATCGCCACGTGTATTATGGGACCCATTCGATTCTCATGCAACAAAATCAAAAGTTTTGCACCAAGTTGTTCCTCTAAGCCACGTGGCCGAATTCTCTCCCCTTTTGTTTTAGGTAAAGTATATCAAAGGTCCCTAAATTATTCTAAAATAATCTTTTCAGTCATTGAATTTTCAAAAGTTATAAAATAGCTATTACGTTTTGTCAAACTGTTACAAAATGATCATTATAAAATAATAATTAAACTCGTCAAATTTTATGATAATAAAAATGTTTTGGTGACCATTTCATAAGAATTCTATAAATTTAATGACAATGTTATAATTATTAAAAGTTAGATAGGCAAAAAGATTACGTAAACATAGTTTAGGAACCTATTCTGTACTTTACCCAATTTTTGGGTTGCCTTGCTTACCAGTTCACAACGCAGAACATCAGAAGAATAAAATAAAAAAAAGTTTTTTTTTTTTAAGTTTTGAACTTTGATGATTTCCCAAACTGTAAACCTATGATGAGACGCCCAAAGTCCACAAATTTAGGAAAAATTATAAAGAATAAATAAAGAGAAAAGCAGTATTGAGTTGAGAGATAGGCTAACTGTCAGTTCCAGAATATGAGATTGGTACGGCAGAGTACTGGATGCTGGAAACTTTTACAAGAATAATACAAATTTATTTATTTTTCCTTTTTTTCCCTTTGATTGATATGGTGTATAAATTCTAGGGTTCTTATTTTCATTCATTTTGTTTAGTTGTTGGCATCAAGCAGAGGGAGAAGGATCTGAGTTCCTCATTTATCTCAGGTGATTTTATTTCTATCTATTGTTGTTCTTTGCTTGAATCAGATTTCAGTTGTAAAATATCAGAATTTGAGATTTAGAGAATTGTTTGATTGTTCAGTAGCAATAGAACTTTGATTGTGGAACTTCTATTTTTGTTGTGTATTTTGATCTGAATTCTTGATTATTGATGAGGGTTTCTTG